GGCAGAGCGCAATGAGGGCGAACTCTTGGTGGCTGATGGCAACAAGGTGGCCATCAAGGGTGTGGGAACCATAATGGAAAAGGTGGTTCTGCCCAACGGTGAAGAGCGTGAGATCGAAATCAAGAACGCGCTATATGTTCCAAGTATGAGCAAGAACCTGCTCTCGGTACCACAGATTAACAGCCATGGCAAGTTTCAAGTCGTGTTTGACGGGTCCAAGATGTATGTGACTCTCAAGAACTCACAGCAAGTGGTGGCGACAGCGGATCTCGTGGATGGACTCTACTGGCTTCGGACGACTCAACGATCAGCGAATGTGACAACAAGTGGAACCAGTTGTGCCGATCTACATGCGAGAATGGGTCATGCTCCAGTCGATGTACTTCGCAAGATGATCGCGACCAACATGATCAAGGATGTGCGAGTCCCTCTCAAGTCGGGTGGAGCAACTACATGTCGAGGATGTCAACAAGGGAAAATGGTCCAAAAACCATTTCCAAGCAACCGAGACAAGCGCAGCTACGATACGTTTGAGCTACTTCATCTGGACATCTGCGGGCCCATGGAAAAGGATTCGCTCGGTGGCAGCAAATATTTGCTGCTGATCATCGACGAAGCCAGTGGATGCATGAAGGGCTTTTGTCTACGAGTGAAGTCCGAGAGTGAAGACTACATCCGGAAATATATCACCATGGTACAGACGCAATTCTGTAAGAAGGTCAAGTTCGTGCGACACGACGGAGCTCGCGAGTTTGCAACCAACTCGCTTCAACTGTTCTACGAAGACGAAGGCATTGAACAGCAGACAACGGTGCCGTATGCACATCAAACAAACGGAACAGCAGAGCGTGCCATTAGGACTATTGTCACGATCGGCCGCAGCATGCTTCATCATGCCAAACTGGACAAGTGTTTCTGGGCCGAAGCAGCGATGACGGCCATCTACGTCAAGAATCGACTGCCGTCACCTAAAGTCGTGCACAAGACCCCGTTTGAGATCGTCTACAACTTGAAACCAAGCGTCAAGCACATGCGAACATTCGGGTGTCAGACATACATACTGACGCCTAAAGAGAATCGACTCAAGTGGGATCCAAAGGCTCGCGCTGGCATATTCGTGGGCTACGAAGAAGTTTCGAAGGCATATCGTGTTTATGACATCGAGGCGGGGCAGGTGGTTATCAGCCGCGATGTCAACTTCGACGAGTCCACCTTTGGACTTCAACTGCCGATCACTGATGAAGATGTCGATGACCTGGACTTCGAATTGCTGGATCTTGATGACGAAGAGCTGCGTCAAATGGAGTACAAGCAAACAGGCAAGCGCAAGAACCGACTCAATGATGAAGATACAGCAGCTCCACGACCGCGTGCAGTGCGTCAACGACCAGGACTAGAAGAGTCAAGCGCGCCGGAAAACAACTCGTCACGCCAAGAAGAAGACGAAGAAACGAAGGATTCTGGTGATTCAACACCGCCTGTGTTTTGGCGTGCGAGTGCAAATGCCGTTGAAGCAGCAGTGGACTTATCAGAACCCTCAACATTTGAAGCAGCAGTAAGCGGCCCTGACCAAGTGCACTGGAGAAAAGCAATTCATGCAGAGCTCGAGTCAATGCGACTTCGCGGTGTGTTTCGTGCAGCCAAGCTGCCCAACGGACAACGCGCCATTGGCACAAAATGGGTGTTCAAGATCAAGCGCAAGGCGGATGGATCTATCGAGAAGTACAAGGCACGACTTGTGGCCAAGGGTTTCCGCCAAAAGTATGGCATCGACTACACGGAGACGTTTTCGCCTGTGGTCAAGTATGTGACGCTGCGAATGGTGATCGCAATTTCCAAGCATTTTGGATGGCCCATCGACCAGCTTGATGTGGTGACAGCTTTCCTGTATGGCGTCATGAAGGAACAAATGTTCTGCGCGATTCCTGAAGGCGTCGAACTTGACAGTACGTTCGACTGCCTGGAATTGGTGAAGTCAATTTACGGCCTCAAGCAAGCGTCGCGAGTGTGGAACGAGACGTTCGACGAGTATGTGTGCTCCATCGGATTTCAAGTATCGGACTTCGACCCATGTCTCTACATCAAGACTTCGGACGGCCATTGCGTGTTTATACTGGTCTACGTGGACGACGTCTTGGTGACTGGAAGCTCGCTCGAGCTGATTGCAAAAACCAAGAACGACCTGAAGACGCGGTTCGAAATGACGGACAGCGGCAAGTGTGCGTTTGTTCTTGGGATCGAGCTTTTGGACGGTGAAGATGGCAGTGTGACACTATGTCAGCGTCGGTATGTCGATGATATCATCAAGCGCTTTGGCATGGATGATTGCAAGGCAGTCGCAAGTCCAGTCGACATGAGCTCTCGACTTGTTTCAAGTGATGCAACTACCAAGGTCGATGCTCCTTTTCGCGAAGCTGTTGGTGCGTTGATGCACCTGACCACTGCAACGCGTCCGGACATTGCGTTTGCTGTGGGCTATGTGTCGCGGTTCATGGAAAATCCCCAAGAAGAACACTGGGTTGCAGTTAAGCGTATCTTTCGCTACCTACAAGGCACCAAGACGCATGGAATTTGCTACAAGCCAAGTGCAAGGATCGACTTCCGTGGATATTCGGATGCGGATTGGGCTGGTGATCTTACCGATCGCAAGTCAACATCGGGGTACACGTTCATGCTACTCGGTGCGCCAGTCAGTTGGGGCAGCAAGAAGCAGCCAAGTGTTTCGTTGTCCACGAGTGAAGCCGAATACATCGCACTCAGCTTGGCGATTCAAGAGGGCAAGTGGATTCATCGTCTGCTTTGTGAGATCGTGATGGCTGCCAATGAAGAAGGACCGGAACTCATGATTCATGAAGACAATCAGTCATGTATCAAGATGACGAAGAACCCAGTCAACCACGGCCGTGCCAAGCACATTGATATCAAGTACCATCACATCCGTGATGAGGTCAAGCGCGGTGAAGTGAAGCTCAAGTACTGTGAAACTGCGGTGATGTTAGCGGACATCATGACGAAGGGACTTCATGGACCACGCCACAAGGAGATGACGGCGACTCTCGGGATTCGTGAGCATTCGGATTGAGGGGGGTGTTGACGGTCATCGGTTTTCTACCAGTATTGGTAACCGTGACCGATCCAATCCGAACCGCCTGTTCAGCTTAGTATTTACGACGTAGTTCTTACGGTAATTACCATAGTTGATTAGACGCGTAGGATGATGAGACGCTTCACATGATTTATATGTACACCACATATAAATCATGTAGTAAGTAGTAAGTCCCGATAATCAATCACTTTCGAATCTTCCAACTATTGGGCAAGTGTTTTCTGCTCTACTCTCTTCGGTCTCTCCGCTCCGTTCGCTCCGCTTTCCTCGCTCCGATCTACAATGCAACAGCAAGCAAGTACAAATGCAGTCGAAGGTACTGACTTGTCCGAGCCGAAAATGTTTTAAGACGCAGTTGGTGGTCCGGATCAAGTTCGTTGGCGTAAGGCCTTTTGCGCCGTATTGGACTCGATAAAGCTGCATGGCATGTTTCGAGAGACCGAGTACCAGCTTTATAGCACACCATTAGCACTAATTGGATGTTCAAGATTGAGCACAGGATTGATGGATCAATCTTAAAGTACAAGGCGAGACTCGCGGCAAAGGGTTCAAGCAAAGATATGGCATTGACTTTACGGAGACGTTCTCGACAGTTGTCAGGTATATGAAGCTCCGCATGATGATCACGAAGTACTTGATCTCGATGCTGGAACAACTGCATGTGATGACAGCTTTCCTGTATGGCGAAAGAAGAGAACAGTGTTTTGCGCGGTCCCAAAGGGTGCCGAAGTCGATGAAGACTTTGACTTCTCTGAACTGGTGAAAGCGATCTACGGACTGAAACAAGCACCGCGGGTATGGAGCGATACTTTCCATGACTTTTGTTGATTGGGTGAAAAGCTTGACGACCGAAACTGGGAGTGATGCTGGGAGTCCACTCGGAAGACCGGAGAAGACACTTGGGGGGTAGATGGAAGATTGGAAAGTGATTGATTATCGGGGCTTACTACTTACTACATGATTTATATGTGGTGTACATATAAATCATGTGAAGCGTCTCATCATCCTACGCGTCTAATCAACTATGGTAATTACCGTAAGAACTACGTCGTAAATACTAAGCTGAACAGGCGGTTCGGATTGGATCGGTCACGGTTACCAATACTGGTAGAAAACCGATGACCGTCAACACGCCCCCTCAATCCGAATGCTCACGAATCCCGAGAGTCGCCGTCATCTCCTTGTGGCGTGGCCCGTGAAGTCCCTTCGTCATGATGTCCGCTAACATCACCGCAGTTTCACAGTACTTGAGCTTCACTTCACCGCGCTTGACCTCATCACGGATGTGATGGTACTTGATATCAATGTGCTTGGCACGGCCTTGGTTGACTGGGTTCTTCGTCATCTTGATACACGACTGATTGTCTTCATGGATCATGAGTTCCGGTCCTTCTTCATTGGCAGCCATCACGATCTCACAAAGCAGACGATGAATCCACTTGCCCTCTTGAATCGCCAAGCTGAGTGCGATGTATTCGGCTTCACTCGTGGACAACGAAACACTTGGCTGCTTCTTGCTGCCCCTGTTGAAAAGACAGCGGCTGTGAAGAAGACACCTCGTCAAGCTGCGTCAAGTGTTGAAGCAAGTGGAAGACCAAGCTTCGCTATACCGGTGGGTACCGGTATGTACCAGTAAGGGCGAAGTCAGGAAATGACGTCACTGGATGACGTCATTGCATGACGTCAGTGGGTGACGTCAGTGGGTGACGTCACTGGATGACGTCACTGCGAACAATAGGCTTAGAGGTAGTATTCAAAGTTGCGAACTAAGTACCTATTATAAATATATATTCACTTTGCGTTTTGCACTCGGACCAAGAAGTCTAAAGTTCATCAGGTTATGAGCCCAAGTTCGTCAGACTCTGAAACCGCCAACAATTCAAGCTTAGCTGCCATGGACGCCTCCTCCCTCCGCATCTCCAAGTTCGATGGAACTAACTTCCACGCCTGGAAGTTCAAGATGCAGATGGTGCTGGAGGAACGGGACCTATGGGAGGTCGTCAGCGGTGAGATCAAGGCGGAACAGTGCGAGACTCAGTTGGACCAAGCGACGTACAAGAGGAAGTCAAGAAAGGCGATGGCAGTGATCTGTCTAGCCATGGAAGATTCCCAGCTACCGTTGGTCCGGTCGGCAAGTGGTGCATGCGACGCATGGTCAAGGTTGGAAGACCACTTCGAGAAGAAGAGTCTTGCCAACAAGCTGTTCTTGCGCCGTCGCTTCTTCACGACAATGATGGAAGAAGGCGACGATGTGCTCGAACACATCAACAAGCTCAAGACGCTGGCGGAACAGCTAGAAGCGGTGGGGGCTCCAGTCTGCGAGGACGATCTGGTGATCACACTTCTCGGCAGCCTGAGTGACTCGTATCAATTCTTGATCACAGCTTTGGAGTCGCGCTCAGACACTCTTAGCTGGGAGCTCGTGACGTCTCGACTGCTTCATGAAGAAATGAAGCGGAAGGAGCAAGGAAGTAAAGGTGATGAAGCTTCGCAAGGTCAAGCGTTCATCACAAAGGGACAATCAGCGCAAAGGGCGACCAGTGAAGAAGTCCTGGCCGTGCCACAATTGCGGAAAGATTGGTCACTGGATGGCGGAGTGCCCCTCGCGCATCCAAGAAAACACGGAGAGACACCGGCCACAGCGTGCTCAAGACAGCGGCGACCGCTATCGATCACAACGTGCAAACGTCGCTCAAGAAGAAGACTCGGGCGACTACCTCTTTTCGATCGGTGAAACGACATCTGCGAAATCGAGCGACATCTGGCTGGTCGACTCCGGGGCGACGCAGCACATGACGTGCTCCAAGAAGTTCATGCGGAACTACAAGGGGTTTGACGCTGTGGATGTCCATCTCGCGGATGATGGAATCGTCCAAGCAATCGGCAGTGGGGACATTGTCATGTCGATGAAGACACCCCAAGGGATGAAGAAAGGTGTGCTCACAAACGTGTGGCACATCCCAAAGTTATCCAGAAACCTGTTCTCGGTCGGCCGCTTCACCAAGGATGTCGGCCCAGTGACGTTCACGAAGGATGGGTGCTATGGAGAAGCGAAAGGGACCAAGTGGAAAATTGGTGCCCGTGAAGGTAAAGGACTGTTCAAGCTGCAAATGACTCCAGTGGCGCCGGAACAAGCAAATGCAGCCAAGTCGTCGGGATGTCAAGGGGGCACCAAGTCGTACCTCTGGCACCTTCGGCTTGGCCACATAGGTCACGATGGACTCAATTGCATCGTGACGAAGAACATTGGAATTGGCATCGACATATCTTCGGTGAAGAAGTGGGACGTGTGTGAAGGTTGTGCTCTGGGAAAACAGACTCGAGTGCGCTTCCAATCAAACACTACAGCTCGCACCTCCAAACTCCTCGAAGTGATTCACAGCGACGTATGCGGACCGATGTCGATGGCAACTTTCAGTGGAAAACGGTACTTCGTGACATTCATTGATGACAAGTCAAGATACTGTGTCGTCTATCTGCTCAAGAGCAAATCTGAAGTTGCGGCGAAGTTCATGGAATACGCTGCGATGGCCGAAACGCAAACCGGAAAGCGCGTGAAGTACCTTCAAAGCGACAATGGGGGTGAATACAAGTCCGACAAGCTGGCACGATTCTGCGCGGAACGGGGAATACAACAAAGGTTCACACCCCCATATACTCCTCAGCTAAACGGAGTAGCTGAGAGAATGAATCGCACGCTGGTCGAGTGTGCGCGTTGCATGATGGAACACGCTGGACTGGGAAAGAGCTACTGGGGTGAAGCAGTGATGACGGCGATGTTTCTTCGAAACCGCTGTCCAACACGTGCCATTCACCAAGACAAGTCTCCATATCAAGTGTGGACGATGAAGAAACCGATTCTGGCCAACCTTAAAGTGTTTGGATGCCACGCGTATGTTCAAGTGCCTCAAGACAAACGCGCGAAGTTCGACTCCAAGTCATCACTCTGTCGTTTCCTGGGATACGTCGAACACCAGAAGTCATATCGATTTGAGGAAGTGTCAACAGGAGCGATCAAGATCAGTCGCGATGCCACATTCATGGAAGACAAGTTTGATGAAGGTCCGCGCAACTACAACGATGAGTCAAGTGTCGTTGAGTTTGATGATCATGATGAGGACGAAGAAAAAGAAGAAGGTAAAACTGACGACGACATGGACTCGAGCGACGATGACAACGAAGACACCAGGTCTTCGAAGAGCAACATCAAGAGACACACGCGCACTCAATCACTTGAGAAAGCTACCGTCATTCCAAGTCCCAAGCGAAGAACATACAGAGGTCCGTCGCTTGAGCATGTGTCAGCGGCTGCAATGGATTTTGAAGCAGCCTACATCGTTGATTCAGTGGGGAAACGCCGACTACATTCAAGTCGGCGATGGAATCAAGCGACTCCGGCAAGTGGAAAGAAGCGTGTGACTCGGAGTTCGATTCGCTTCAGAGAAACGACACGTGGGAAATCGTGCCTCTTCCGAAAGGTCGCAAGGCCATCGGGTGCCGATGGGTTTTTCGTGTAAAGGAGAATCAAGATGGCGAAGTTGAACGTTTCAAGGCAAGACTTGTGGCCAAAGGATTCTCACAGAAATTCGGAGTTGACTATGAAGAAACTTTCGCACCGGTGGCCAAGTTCACATCGATTCGTGTGGTGCTCAGTATGGCGGCTAAGTACGGCCTAATGCTACATCAGATGGACGTCAAGACAGCGTTTCTTAACGGCTCCCTCAACGAAGACATCTACATGGACCAGCCGGACGGATACCTGGATGCAACACAGCCGGACTATGTGTGCAAGCTAAAGAGATCACTCTACGGCTTGAAGCAATCGCCTCGCATGTGGAACCAAACAATCGATGGGTTCATGATCAAGATGGGATTCAAGAAGTGCGAATCGGACCACTGCATCTACATCAAGCGAGACGACCAAGACATGATTCTCGTGGTGCTCTACGTCGATGATCTCATCCTGGCCAGCAGCAACAACGAACTCCTCAAGTCAACCAAGATGGCGCTGAGCAAACGCTTCGAAATGACGGATCTCGGTGAGCTTGATTACTTTCTCGGCATGGAGATCAAGAACGACCGTAAGACGGGAATGGTGACCGTACAACAAACCAAGTTTCTCAAGTCCGTGTTAACCAAGTTCGGAATGGATAACAGCAAGCAGTGAAGACCTCAAGATCCCGGCTGAAGTAACCAAGAACATGTGAACAAGAATGCAAGCACGAAGACACCATGTGCAACGTGCCATATCGAAGTGCTGTCGGAGGCATCATGTATCTCATGGTCGCCACACGTCCGGATCTAGCTGCTGCAGTGGGATCATTATCCCAGTTCTCGTCCGACCCATGCCCGACTCACTGGCAAGCTTTGAAGCGTGTGCTGAGATACCTGCAAGCAACGCCCAATCATGGTCTTGAGTTTACACGTGAAGAAGGAAGCCGTATCTGCGGGTACACCGACGCAGACTGGGCCGGCGACATTGAGTCAAGACGAAGTACAAGCGGCTATGTGTTCATGATGAGCGGAGGATGCATCAGCTGGAAAAGCCAGAAACAACGGACGGTCGCGCTATCTTCAACAGAAGCAGAATACATGGCGCTTTCCGAAGCAACCAAAGAAGCAGTATGGCTCAAAGTGCTTTTGGGGGAACTTGGTGAGATGACAAGCGACGAAGCGATCAAGATGTATGAAGACAACCAAGGATCAATCGCTCTCGCCAAGAACCCGGAGTTCCATAAGAGAACAAAACACATCGACATACGCTACCATTTTGTGCGTGAGAAGGTGGAATCAGGTGAAGTCGTTTTGGAGTATTGCCCGACTCAAGATATGCTGGCAGACATGATGACCAAGCCGATCGCCGCTGTACAATTTGAAAACATTCGCGATCGACTTGGGATCCAAGGTGCCGCAGCTAACGAGTCGAGAGGGAGTGTTGAAAAGACAGCGGCTGTGAAGAAGACACCTCGTCAAGCTGCGTCAAGTGTTGAAGCAAGTGGAAGACCAAGCTTCGCTATACCGGTGGGTACCGGTATGTACCAGTAAGGGCGAAGTCAGGAAATGACGTCACTGGATGACGTCATTGCATGACGTCAGTGGGTGACGTCAGTGGGTGACGTCACTGGATGACGTCACTGCGAATAATAGGCTTAGAGGTAGTATTCAAAGTTGCGAACTAAGTACCTATTATAAATATATATTCACTTTGCGTTTTGCACTCGGACCAAGAAGTCTAAAGTTCATCAGCCCCAACTGACTGGCGCACCGAGTAGCATGAACGTGTACCCCGATGTTGACTTGCGGTCGGTAAGATCACCAGCCCAATCTGCATCCGAATATCCACGGAAGTCGATCCTTGCACTTGGCTTGTAGCAAATTCCATGCGTCTTGGTGCCTTGTAGGTAGCGAAAGATACGCTTAACTGCAACCCAGTGTTCTTCTTGGGGATTTTCCATGAACCGCGACACATAGCCCACAGCAAACGCAATGTCCGGACGCGTTGCAGTGGTCAGGTGCATCAACGCACCAACAGGTTCGCGAAAAGGAGCATCGACCTTGGTAGTTGCATCACTTGAAACAAGTCGAGAGCTCATGTCGACTGGACTTGCGACTGCCTTGCAATCATCCATGCCAAAGCGCTTGAGGATATCATCGACATACCGACGCTGACATAGTGTCACACTGCCATCTTCACCGTCCAAAAGCTCGATCCCAAGAACAAACGCACACTTGCCGCTGTCCGTCATTTCGAACCGCGTCTTCAGGTCGTTCTTGGTTTTTGCAATCAGCTCGAGCGAGCTTCCAGTCACCAAGACGTCGTCCACGTAGACCAGTATAAACACGCAATGGCCGTCCGAAGTCTTGATGTAGAGACATGGGTCGAAGTCCGATACTTGAAATCCGATGGAGCACACATACTCGTCGAACGTCTCGTTCCACACTCGCGACGCTTGCTTCAGGCCGTAAATTGCCCTCACCAATTCCAGGCAATCGAACGTACTGTCAAGTTCGACGCCTTCAGGAATCACGCAGAACACTTGTTCCTTCATGACGCCATACAGGAAAGCTGTCACCACATCAAGCTGGTCGATGGGCCATCCAAAATGCTTGGAAATTGCGATCACCATTCGCAGCGTCACATGCTTGACCACGGGCGAAAACGTCTCCGTGTAGTCGATTCCATACTTTGAGCGAAAGCCCTTTGCCGCGAGACGTGCCTTGTACTTCTCGATAGATCCATCCGCCTTGCGCTTGATCTTGAACACCCATTTTGTGCCAATGGCGCGTTGTCCGTTGGGCAGCTTGGCTGCACGAAACACACCGCGAAGTCGCATTGACTCGAGCTCTGCATGAATTGCTTTTCTCCAGTGCACTTGGTCAGGGCCGCTTACTGCTGCTTCAAATGTTGAGGGTTCTGATAAGTCCACTGCTGCTTCAACGGCATTTGCACTCGCACGCCAAAACACAGGCGGTGTTGAATCACCAGAATCCTTCGTTTCTTCGTCTTCTTCTTGTCGTGACGAGTTGTTTTCCGGCGCGCTTGACTCTTCTAGTCCTGGTCGTTGACGCACTGTACGCGGTCGTGGAGCTGCTGTATCTTCATCATTGAGTCGGTTCTTGCGCTTGCCTGTTTGCTTGTACTCCATTTGACGCAGCTCTTCGTCATCAAGATCCAGCAATTCGAAGTCCAGGTCATCGACATCTTCATCAGTGATCGGCAGTTGAAGTCCAAAGGTGGACTCGTCGAAGTTGACATCGCGGCTGATAACCACCTGCCCCGCCTCGATGTCATAAACACGATATGCCTTCGAAACTTCTTCGTAGCCCACGAATATGCCAGCGCGAGCCTTTGGATCCCACTTGAGTCGATTCTCTTTAGGCGTCAGTATGTATGTCTGACACCCGAATGTTCGCATGTGCTTGACGCTTGGTTTCAAGTTGTAGACGATCTCAAACGGGGTCTTGTGCACGACTTTAGGTGACGGCAGTCGATTCTTGACGTAGATGGCCGTCATCGCTGCTTCGGCCCAGAAACACTTGTCCAGTTTGGCATGATGAAGCATGCTGCGGCCGATCGTGACAATAGTCCTAATGGCACGCTCTGCTGTTCCGTTTGTTTGATGTGCATACGGCACCGTTGTCTGCTGTTCAATGCCTTCGTCTTCGTAGAACAGTTGAAGCGAGTTGGTTGCAAACTCGCGAGCTCCGTCGTGTCGCACGAACTTGACCTTCTTACAGAATTGCGTCTGTACCATGGTGATATATTTCCGGATGTAGTCTTCACTCTCGGACTTCACTCGTAGACAAAAGCCCTTCATGCATCCACTGGCTTCGTCGATGATCAGCAGCAAATATTTGCTGCCACCGAGCGAATACTTTTCCATGGGCCCGCAGATGTCCAGATGAAGTAGCTCAAACGTATCGTAGCTGCGCTTGTCTCGGTTGCTTGGAAATGGTTTTGGATCATTTTCCCTTGTTGACATCCTCGACATGTAGTTGCTCCACCCGACTTGAGAGGGACTCGCACATCCTTGATCATGTTGGTCGCGATCATCTTGCGAAGTACATCGACTGGAGCATGACCCATTCTCGCATGTAGATCGGCACAACTGGTTCCACTTGTTGTCACATTCGCTGATCGTTGAGTCGTCCGAAGCCAGTAGAGTCCATCCACGAGATCCGCTGTCGCCACCACTTGCTGTGAGTTCTTGAGAGTCACATACATCTTGGACCCGTCAAACACGACTTGAAACTTGCCATGGCTGTTAATCTGTGGCACCGAGAGCAGGTTCTTGCTCATACTTGGAACATATAGCGCGTTCTTGATTTCGATCTCACGTTCTTCACCGTTGGGCAGAACCACCTTTTCCATGATGGTTCCCACACCCTTGATGGCCACCTTGTTGCCATCAGCCACCAAGAGTTCGCCCTCATTGCGCTCTGCCAAACTTGCGAACTTGGTCTTGTCGTGGCAAATGTGGTGCGTTGCACCACTGTCGACGGCCCACATTCCAGACACGTCCTTGCTCGTCGAAACTCCACATTCGAACGAGACTGCAAACGCCACTCGATCGTAGCCATTGCCTTCATCATGATGTCCCCACTGGACATTGTTAGCCCCGCGTCCACGACCATTGCCGCCGCGTCGGGCTCCCCGACCTTCGTTCTTCTGCTTTGTCCAGCAACGATCCACCGTGTGTCCCACCTTGCCACAATACGTGCATTGGTAGGGCTCACGCTCGGCGCTGAATGCCTTGCTTGCATCTTCAGCCTTCACCGTAGTCGCTGTCGTTGTCCCTTTTTCTCCTTGACGCTTGGCATGCTCATTCGTCAGGACTCTCACCACATCTTGAGTGCGAAGCTCGGTGCTGCTCATTTCCATGTTGAGCACCACATTTTCGTAGCTCTTCGGAAGACTGAATAGCAGACAAATTGCAACGTCTTCGTCTTCCATCTTCGCACCGATGCCGCTAAGCTTGGCGGAGATGTTGAGGACCTCGTTGCAGTGATGCATGACGTTCGCGCCTTCAGCCATCTTGATACTGAAAAGTTGTCGCTTGAGGTAGATGCGTCCTGCCTTCTGCGACCCACCGTACAGCGTCTTCAGACTTGTCCACGCAACCCAGGCTTCCTCGCAGTTGTCCAGCACATGATGGTAGTCCGCGTTCATGTGCAGCAGCATCATACCAAACGCGACGTTGCTTGCCTTGACGTAGTCATCGGACGCTCGCGGGTCGGTGAAAGTCGGAGTCACTTCACGGTTGACAACGTGCCAGACGGACTTCGTCAAAAACACACCGCGCATGTACCGGCTCCACGTTGCGTAATTGTCTCCGTTGAACTTGTCAATGGAGGCGTTGCTGGTGGACGACATGGCGCTTGGGCTCATAACCTGTTGCATTGTAGATCGGAGCGAGGAAAGCGGAGCAAACGGAGCGGAGAGACCGAAGAGAGTAGAGCAGAAAACACTTGCCCAATAGTTGGAAGATTCGAAAGTGATTGATTATCGGGGCTTACTACTTACTACATGATTTATATGTGGTGTACATATAAATCATGTGAAGCGTCTCATCATCCTACGCGTCTAATCAACTATGGTAATTACCGTAAGAACTACGTCGTAAATACTAAGCTGAACAGGCGGTTCGGATTGGATCGGTCACGGTTACCAATACTGGTAGAAAACCGATGACCGTCAACAGCTTCTGCACATCATCACGAGTGGCCCGGAGGAAGTCGAGTCGCCAGATGGAAGCAATTATTTGCTGCTGATCGTCGATTAAGGCAGAGGATGCATGAAGGACTCTAATATGCGCGCCAAATCCGACGGCAAAGAGTGCATCAAGAAGTGCATTGCTGCGGTGCATACACAGTTTGACTGGACGAGTGAATATGTTCGACACGATGGTGCACGTGATTTGCGACGACTCGCTTGAGGCATTCTACGAGGACCACGGGATCGGGCAACAAGCAACGGTCCCATGTGCGCATCAAAAAATGGCATAGAAGAACGGTGATTCGACCATCGTGACAATCGGCCGCAGTATTCTTCACTACGCCAAATTGTACAAGTGCTTTGGGCCGAGGCAGCAATTGCGGCGATCTACGTCAAGAATCGCCTGCCGCTGCCCAAGTTCAACGGCCAATCTCCGTTTAAGATCATCAACGGATTGCAGCCAAGTGTTCAGCACATGCGAGTTTTTGGCTGCCGAGAGTTCTTGTTGTCCCCCAAAGAAAATAGATCAAAGGCTTGAGAAGGACTGTTTATGGGGTAAGAAGAAGTGTCGAAGACACACCTGTTGACGGTCATCGGTTTCCTACCAGTATTTGTTGCATTGTAGATCGGAGCGAGGAAAGCGGAGCGAACGGAGCGGAGAGACCGAAGAGAGTAGAGCAGAAAACACTTGCCCAATAGTTGGAAGATTCGAAAGTGATTGATTATCGGGGCTTACTACTTACTACATGATTTATATGTGGTGTACATATAAATCATGTGAAGCGTCTCATCATCCTACGCGTCTAATCAACTATGGTAATTACCGTAA